TTGATCACGTGGTTAGACCACTGAAGGAGACACTTTATTTTTCCCAGAAAGTKTGTGTTTCCTTCCAAAAATCAAAATTTGGATCAAAAGAGCAGAAATAACAAACAAGATGCTTTTCCAGCATCAAATTGYAGATAGAAAACTAAACAAGCCTTATGCAACATGAAGCATTCAGAAGCTAAAGCTTCTCTTTGCAACCTGGATTTCTATTTTATTATGCATTATAGTAGGTTATGAAATTACATGAGTCCGTATGTTTGTTTTCCACGGGAGTGCTGTCTCCCTCAGAGCATAGGCTGGACGGTGCTTTTGTAATAAGGAGCCATTTGGAGCATTTTTGTTCCATTTTTATTTATTTTTTGAGGGCTCTGCGTGGCCATCAGCTGTATTTGCTACACATTATTCAAACCCTACTGTGAATATTAAAATGTTGAGTCCCTTGTGGGATTTTTATGGCTTTCATTGCTGTAATACTGGAGTACTTTGCAACTATTAATGACTTTTTTAATAAAACGGAAGGCAGAGTGTTATTTCTGTTTTGCAGCAGAGGTGGGAAGGTAGAGCAGAGATGTTAAGGTCAAGAGTTCCCACTGCCTTTTGGTTCTCAGCCCGAGGTGACTGGCGCTGTGCACGGGGGTGTTTGTTGTTTTGTTTCTTATTGAGCCTTATCCGAGCGGGACGTTGCAGGGAACAGCTCTGAGCGCTCCGTCCTCCCGCGCTGCCCTGAGGGCAGGACGCAGCCGTGGTGGCTCCGGCTTTCTCGGCCAAGTGCCCCTTTCACGGGTGGCTCGGGACCGCGGTCCCTGCCTGGCAGCTCCAGGCTCTTCCTAAGAGCAAATCCCTTCGCATCCCTGACCGCCCTGCCGAGCATCCGGCTGGGATCTTCTCCTTGCATTTTCTATTCTCCATGACCCTGATTCTCCCCAGGGAATTAGTTCTTATCTTTCTGCTTTAGTTTTAGACTCTTCTTTCCTTATCAGAATCATCCCACTTCCTTTTTACTGACTGGCCTTCAGCTCCAGCTCGCCGCAGTGTGCGGCACTTGCTGAGCTTGGAAGTGCATCAGCCTGACCCTTCCTGACCTGGAGCCATCAAGAGCCCCCCCGCGGGCCGACGTGCTCCAGCCTGGCTGCTCTTTCCTTCCAAGGAAACCGGTTCCGTGTTTCCCATTGCTGGATTTGGCCRCAGACCTCAGCGGTCACCCAGAGGCAGAGGGGCCCTCGGTCACTGCACCTGGTTTCCAGCCGCTTTAGGGCTGGCCCGGGCTGCAGGCAGGACCAGCTCCTGYTCTCCGGAGCAGGAGGAGCCGTGGATCTTCGTGTATGTGGTGTACTGGTGTGACGMGGTGTTACTGGTGCACTAAGTGCCTCAGGTTTCCTTCTCTCAAAGCTTTTCCATCTGCTTCACAGTGTGATAACTGCGGGATTGAACCTATTCAGGGTGTTCGGTGGCACTGCCAAGACTGCCCTCAAGAAATGTCCCTGGATTTCTGTGATGCTTGTTCGGACTGGTGAGCAGCACTCGCTTCTACTTGGCCTTTGTCATTAACTTGGCTTTCTGTTAGTTGCTGTGGACGTTGGGCATCTCTCTCCCAGCACAGGATGCATCATTCCGTGTTGGGGGAACAGGAAGGTGCTGTAGTGTGTGTGGGGGGGAGGTCAGTTTTTTGTAAGCATGTTTGGGATGTGTAAAAATGTTCTTCTTTTTATTTATTTTTTGTTAAGTAGAGCAGGAAAGTTGGGGGTTTTATTGTAAAGTAGCGGGGTAATTATTTTTTTATGAGCAACCATATGGTATCAAATTTGGCATGGATCTGTTTTTGAAAGCTGCAGATAAGAATACTTGACTTACAAAACGTTATCTCTTTTCTTTCCCTAACAGTTTGCATGAAACAGAGATTCATAAAGAAGATCATCAGTTAGAGCCTATTTACAGAGCAGAGACATTTTTAGACAGAGACTACTGCATGTCCCAGGGCACCAGTTACAATTATCTTGACCCAAACTACTTTCCAGCAAATAGATGACATGGGAAGCAGATCTGCAGTCTGGGCTTACTATCCTCTTTGAAAATAACAATGGCACCATTGTTAGTTCTGTGCACATTTTGGAAAGACTCTGCTTTCCCTGAAATGTCGCTCACAGCATGACAGCTTCCTGGGTGTACTTGTCAAACTACAGCTTTGAACTGTCATGGTTCTAGATCACTGAGCAGCAGCTGAACATTCCTAGTGTGCAGAAGGTTCCACTGGGAGACTTTTCTCTCACCACATTAGTCATTTTTAGGTGGTGAATCTATACAAAAAGAAAACCATACAAACGAGTGAGCCAGGAAAGAGAGCACACGTTAAAGATAGAGTAAATTCCAAAGGCTTCGAAGAGCTTGGTTACAATGAGATCCAGAGGAGATGAAGTATTTATATACAAACAGTTTAGTAGCTTGCAGTTTTGTTGTGACATAGTTTTCAGCACAGTAACTGACTTCTTTAGGCAAGGTTTTAACCAATGACAGTGTTTGCTTCTAGGATGTATTCTAAAAAAATGCTCACTGTCTCAGCGATGGTTGGTTACAGGCCTTTATCAAATCGGAGCTGCTTAATCACATTGACTTTCAATTTTAAAATTTTTTTTTTCCTTTCTTTTTTCTTTTTTTTTTTTTTTTACCACAATGAACTCTATTTACCAACAGTGAAGCACTACAGGGGGCAACTGTGGCATTGCTTCCTTAACCAGCTCATGGTGTGTGAATGTTATAAAATTGTCACTCAGATATATTTTTTAAATGTAATGTTATATAAGATGATCATGTGATGTGTACAAAATATGGTGAAAAGTGCCAGTGGTAGTAACTGTGTAAAGTCTCTAATACTCAACATTAACTCCTTTAAAATAAAATACACAGCCTTCTGCCTCTGTATTTGGAGTTGTTAGTGCAACTCATCAAAGAAAACTGCCTAATATAAATCATATATATGGTAATAATTTTTTCTCTTTTGTAGTCTGCACAAGATCCATGAAAGATTGTATTTTTATTACTATTTAAACAGTGATTAAATTTAGCCTGAGCAGTGAGCAAGGGTTCACATGCATTCTTTTATACTGCTGGATTTTGTTGTGCATCATTTAAAACATTTTGTATGTTTCTTCTTATCTGTGTATACAGTATGTTCTTAAATAATGTTCAATTGTCAGGAGAACTGTGAGAAATAAACTATGTGGATCCAGTCTGTTTATATATAGAATGCTTGCCGTGACTTCCTTTGTGTGGCCGGGGCTCCTGATCCAGGAGGGAGCCGCAGGCCGGAGCCGCGGGCGCCGCTCGGGCGGGCAGGACGACGGCTCCTCCTCCCGAACCCGGGGCTCTGGGGCTGCAGCAGAGCCCGCGTTTCGGAGCGCTGTGTTAGCCAAAAATACACTGATGTCTGACAAGTTTTGTAATTATTGTGACATATTTTTTAGTTAATATATTTTTTATTGAAATGTATAGCTTGTGGTTCAGAAACACTGATTATTTTTTAACTGTAATAGACTTCCAGTTGCTTTAAAACTTGAATATTCAGAGTGATTAGCTAGAGAGAGAGGGAACTCATTTGACTTAAAATATGGCAATAAGAAGGGTAATTGGCTGGCCGCTCCGATTAACTTTACTTATAAGCTGATTGGTATTAATTTTCACAGTAACATTTAATGTAGACACTTTTTGCTTTAGAGAGAAGCAGTTAATCTATTTAGAAGGTAATACTTCACAGTTACTAAAACACTGAGTGAGGATTGGAGAAATGTAATAAACCTTTAAAAATACATCACAAACATACAAAAGTTTTAGAAAAGCTTTCTCTAATGGAAAAAGGTACCGCTCCAAGAAGCTCTGGTACCATAAAAATATTTTCCAGCTCATTCATGCTGTTTGTAAGAGAACAGATTCAATGGAGATATGTATCTGGGAGAGGGAATCTGTGGTAATCTCTTTTCTATTGATTTCCTTAAAAAATTATTGGAGGAGAATAACCAAAGGACATTAATAAAAATAGTAAATGCAGATCTTACAATCATCACTTTAGGACAGCTTGGGTAGAAACAAAAGATGATCTGATTTCGAATGAGGTTGGAAGGAGGAGGAGGAAGATCTCACATCTGAATTACCTGAGAAAGGAGTGTCTTGGACCTGTCCGTTTTGCTGCCTGTGTGTACATGTGTGCATGTTGTTTCTCTTGCCTACGTTATGAACATGTGCAAATGGATTCTTAATGCACATGTACCCAGTCGAGCACAGGGCTTTATGTTTCCTTTTGTTCCACAAAAAAAGGGGCCAGAAGAAGCAGAAATTAAACTGGAAATGTATGTAAAATAACTTTGTAAGTGATTTTTCTTTTTAATTAGCATCTGCTTATTACCTTTGTTCCCATCCTGTGCAATTATGATATCCCACACTTTTTTTCTAAAATTATGTTGTRATTAGGAGGAATAAATCTGAACTCCCCAGATGAATTTGCAGCTCCAGAATCTTAATTTCTGGAAAAATACAAGGCATCATCTCCTAATGCTTCAAGGCTAAGCTTAGAAAACGCTGCCTATTCAAGCTGCTGCATTCTGAGAGTGTCCTGCTAAAAGCTGATGTTCTGCAGACGTTGCTCGTCACAAACGGCACCGCTCTGGAGTTGGAAATGCCCTTCCTAGAGCTTCAGAGGTAAAATTAGGACACAGGGAAGGAGAAGCATCCACGGTATAAAGGATAAGAACATCCTAAAACAGTCCCTTGGTGCATAATTGGARTTGAATTTGAAAAAGGACATATTTTGCAAGCATGCTGCTTTGATTTATATTTTCAAGTGATGTACTGTACTTTAAGAAGGATTAAACCCACRTCTACTGTAAAAGAAGTCATTACGCACTTTTGTACATGTTTTATTTGTATTATGTCTTCATTACAAGAAACGTAACTTTAAAAATACAAATCTGCCCCATAAAGTACAACAGAAAGAGCTATCATGCAGCTTCTACTGTGAATTTATCCAGTAGTTCCGTAAGAGGATGCAGTTACAGGAATGTCAAACAAGCTTTTACTTAGCTATCAATATACCAAAAACCTCCACAATATTTTGGTTAACAGAAATATGATAYGATTTTTACAGACTTTTTTGCAGATACTGTAGATAGGTGACCGATTAAAAATGCAAGCAATGAGTCAAATAATCCCTGCTTTTTTTTTTTTTTTTCGCTCAGTGTTAGTGTCAAAATACAAGACAACAGCTGATCTGAAATTTGCATTTGACTTTTCAAGTATTCATGGTGAATTTTCTACATAAATTTGAACAAATAAATGTGCAGTCCCAGTTACTAATGCTTTTAACTGCACTATACAGTCATTATTTCACATGGCCCAATAAACTGGGAGATCAGTATCTGAAGACTCAGCAAAAGGTAAGGCTGTCTCTGTACCTGGATCTATTCCAATGTAATGGATTGACAGAATTCCAACTTCCGCAATGGATTTTTTTTTTTTTCTTCTTGTTTCAGTAAGTGTTTTGGGGACGTTTCAAAAGTTAATTTAAGTTTACTTTAATTTCTGTAGCTTAGTAGGCTAGGTTACAAATCCASTTGCCTCACAGGTGAACATAGCAGAGCAGATTTCTTTCACTAAAAATCAAGAGCAAACTAAGTTATACCATAAAAATGAATACCGTTATTTAAAAGAAACGATAACCAATGGAGCAGTCAGTGTGTTGTGTGATGAAGCAATGTGTCTGACTCAAATGCATGAATAAATCATGTAATACAAAGCAGAGCTGCTGTTCACCTTGGTGCTTTTCACCTTTGAAGACCAAAACAACTAATAAAACAATATACAACACTTATAGTGTGGAATTAGCATAGAGACCATTTCCTGTTGAGTGTTGTATGAATAAGGAAAAAAGATTTCATCTAAAATAACATTTATACCACATGCACGAATTTCAGAAACCTCTCAAGCCYGCAGGTATTGCTTTGACCAGCACTTTAATTGTGACTATCGAGTGCACGTGACATGAAGCTTTGCACAAACCATTACTGAATTTCAGCTGGAAGAGAAAATGCTGCCTCTTCCTTTTTCAGAAAAGAGTCAATTGTCATGCAGATCTCCAGGAAAACATCCTCTAGTTGTCCTTCTGCATCAACCTATGGAGGGAAAAYGAGCCTATTATAAACACATTTGTTCACACTGTTAGAAATTATTTATCTTAAAAAAAATGGTACGACGTGAATAAAGGTTGCTGTCTTTGCTSTCTTTGATCTTATAAATATCCTACTGTAGAAGAGCAGATTCACAAAAAAACAAACAAAAAAACCCATTTCCACAGATTTACGTGAGAAGATTCTGCAGGCTCTGTTTGGAGAAAAGTACAATAACCGAATGACGGAGCTTAAGCTCTTTCTCTTAGGCACTAAAATCACATGGCATCTTTGATGCACAGAACAGTTCCAAGATTTTTAAGATCTCTTGCTAACAACAGTGACTACAGTGTCATTCTGCCAAAGAAATGAGTAGCGCTGACTTGTTAATTTACTGTCACCTCACATGTTGGGGTATTTTGCTGCGACTGACCCAGAGGCTCCCAAGAGGCAGTAGCTTTTCCCGGCGGGGTCTCGGCAGTGTCTGTTTTCCACACTGGTGACTTGGCCCCGCTTTGTTTAGGAACAGTTTGCAGCAGCACTTGTGCTCTGCGACTGTTCACCTTTTTTGAAGAATTTTATTTTTTTTACAGTCTCAAGGATTCTGTCATGAGCAGAGGCTCTCCAGGCCATTCAAGCTGTTTTCCATGACTGGATTTGAACACATGCCCGAYGTGTCTGTCCTCTGGGGAAGGCCGGTAGCTCCGTATCAGCAACGAGGAGCAGCATGCACAGCCAGTGACGCGTCTGTGAGTTCCCAGGGCAGAGTGAGGCAGCCCCAAGCCCTGCGTGTCCTGCCGGTTGCTCCTGGAGGGCTTTAGCCTCCCGGGAGAGGGGGAGCGCCCGCGCTGGCCCTGTACACGCAGCAGGAGGAGTTGGGCCATTTGGTTCCTCCCTGACGCCTCGCGASGGCTTTGAGATTCTCTGCTCAAAAGCAAACTGCCTGTTCGCTTCCCTATGCTGCCTCTTTCCTGCCCTCGTGTAGTCACGTATTTTTGACTGCACCCTGGCCAATTTTGCCAAAACTTCTTTTTCAGAGCTGTATCTAAGTCACTCAGGTGTCAAGACAGTGGTGGCGTTCAGAGGGGACATTCCTGATTGTCACATTCCTGCCATCCCTCCTGTCCTGTGGGAGAAGTAAAGGAGCTTYCGGCTCCCACAGCTACATTTTTTGTCATGGGCCGTGAGCTTCGGCTCAGCGGCRGAGCTGGCAGTGGCCGCGTCCTGCGCTCCGAGCCGCTCACGGCCGGCCTGCACGGCAGCACATTCGGGACCCCTACCCTTGGCGGCCTCTGCAGATGCTGCAAAGCTCGGCCCTTGTCACCTTCTGAGGAGCGCTGGCTCCCCAGCCTGCCCTGGAAAGGCCGCGTTCAGCGGAGGGCCCCGGCGGCCGACGCTGAGGCCCGCGCGGCACCGCCMGTGCTCGCGGTGATGGGTGGTCGGGTGGACCTGTCCCCCAGGCGCGCGGGGCTGCCCCTTCCCCGCTGCCGAGCAGCCCCATTCTGCTCCGCACGTGCTTCCCTCTGGGCTGGGCGGCTTCTGCAGGCCTGGGCAGCCCAGCAAAACTCACCTCCACACAGCCGTAATAAACACGTGGGATTATGGCCTGAGCACGGGTAAGTTTGACAAGAATTAGTTCATTAAGATGTTCTCTGCATGCAAATTAAARTGTGTGCAGGCCTTTTCTCTTCCCAGAGGTGTGCCATGGAGGGGCTGAGGCTCACAGGGAGCTAAAGCAGCCCTGTGCAGAGGAGCTGGGAGCCGCAGGGAGCGCGGGCTGCGACCGCCTCCTGCACCGCTCCGGCAAGCAAATGTCGCCTGCGCTGGAGAGGCAGAGGGAATGTCAGTCCTTCGGGAGCATTTGGTGCCTGCGAGTCCTGAACAGCCCCGACACTGAAGAAATCTCCACTTTTGCATGTGTAGTATTTAAATGCTTMTCTATGGTGCTTTATGTATATATTTATATGAAAATATGTGCCTGAATTTGGCACTTTTACATATCCTTTTATCTTAATAAATATTTTTAWTGTATCTTTATTAATATGTCTGAACTGGATAACCAGTCTAAGCTGAGCAGCGTAGCTGTCTTGCCATAGTCTCAGTGACCTTTTCTAGAGCCAAGATTGATACTGAAGCCCCAGTGCAGGTGTCTGTGATGAAGGGTGGGTTTGCGAGCCTGGCGATTGCTGTCCTTTATGGCGAGCTGGAACATGTCCTTCCTACCAGCCCCAGCAAAATATGGACAAGTTTGGCTGGTGACAGTGATGGTGCTTCCCACTGCCAAACAGCAAGGGTCCAACTCACAAAACAACTTAATGTGTCAGYAACTCACCGCTAGTACCACAGCAATTTAGTAAAATGCCGCAATTCTACAAGGGAAGCCTGTGTTTCTGTTTTCAGATTATAGCCTACCTCACGAATTAAGGCTCTTATCAAGGTTTTCAAGGTTATTCAAGGTTTTTGTCTTCTGGTATAAGCAGGATTAGATAAAATCTGTGCTACTAATTTTGCAACTCCACTATGGCTTTAGGTAATTAAATGCAAAAAAAATTAAGGAGTTAATAAGAAAAATGACTGTATTAATCATCTTCATAGCATAATGCTTATTTTGAAACTAGATGCAGCAAAATACATTTTCTTTCAGCAAATCTCCATTTATTGTAGGTTTTTGGATTTAGAGCCCTGATGTATCCTGCCACAGAGCTAAGGGGCAGTGGAAGGTTTCTTAAAAACAAACTGAGAGTGTGGAATAAACACACTGCTTAGAAGAGACTTAGGAAAGACCAGTCAAGGTGAGCTGTGTAGCCATGAACATTTGTGTCTTTGTCCTTAAATAATAGGGTTGCAAACCTTTCTGAGAATGACAGTTCAGTTGGTGGTTCTTAGAGCAGTGAACCGAGCCATTTAGAAATCCAGGGAAAGAGGCTGCCCAKATTTCGATACCTTTCCTGTTTGGCATGAACTCACGGCTATGAATTATCTATAACCCATGCTAATGCTTCTGATGTACCTTTCTACGTGGGTCCCAGCTGATGGATCACAACCTGCCAAGGGCAGAAACAAAGATGCACTTTTTCCTTTGTTCCCCGAGTACTTACCTGCTGCGTTAATTATTCTTTGACAACCTTTCAAAAGACAGAAATAAATTATAGAGCTGCTATCACTAATACCATTGATAYGTTCTTCTTTAAAGGCAGAAGTACATGTGTTTTCCCGGGAAAAAAAATCTAATAGGGCACCAGGATTCTGGAAAAGGGGAGAGCAGGAAGACGTGAGTGCGGCTGGTCGCTCACTCCGAGCGCAGCTGCCGCTTGCAACGTCTTTGCCTGGGACAGCTCTGGAAAACACGGGTGACAGGAAGCTGGGAACTGCTGCTTACCCAGCACAGGACTCTAAATGCCTTTGGAAACAAAGCAGAAGGACAATTACTGTTATTAAAAGGAAAAAAATTGAAATGCCTCTTGGTTAAAGGTTGTAGGCTAAGTTTCCATATGGTGTGATCTGAAATAGGGAAAGGTTTGGAAGTCTTTGAAAAACCCTCTGGCACTGGCTGCCTACCTCACTGGTTATTCTCACGTTCCYTTTCCTCAGATGAATGTTTGAATAGGGAACTTCTATTTAAAACACCTTCTACTTTGACATTAACTAGGTGGGATCGCTTGTCTTCCTTGACTGCCAGTGCATTATTCTTCTTTATTACTTATTATACTCCTACATGCTGTCAATTTTATAAAGCCTTAAAGGATGAGTCAGATATTAATAACAATCAGTGTTTTTGTCTCCTTTTTCTCAATAGACAGAAGGCCATAAATTCAAAGATATTTACCTTTAGACATGTAAGTATTCAAAAGCACGTTTATGCCCAGCTGTCTTTGAAATCATTGAGAAATCATTTAAAAGCAATAATACCTACCTGCCTGCTACAATTAGCATAGTATATTTCCTTTCATTTTATTTATCTGAAACATTTGAATTCCACAGAATTAGGAAACTTGCATGTCTAAGTTTTGTAAAGAGTGTTTTTAGCCCTTGGATATCCAGTAAGAGCTCTTTGTTGAAAGCCTCTGCATGCTGTCATTAGTGACAGGTAGATGTTCTGTAACTGACTAGGAAGGAAATTATGGAAAGTTAAATTACATCTCCAAAGCATGATTTTTTTTACTTCTTAGTTGGAAAAACTTTAATCCATTGTAGCTTAATGTGGCTACTTTGCCTTCCAGAAAACAATTTGGAAGCTTAATGCCTAAGCAGAAAAGCAAGCAAAAGAAAACATTTYGTCATCCTTTGCCCTTCATTATGTCCATTTAAGTTTCCTTCATAAATATATCCAGTGACTCACGTCAGATCACAGCTCTTAATCCGGGTCACCCCCATTCCTGCTCGCACTTCCCCTGCTGACACATGAGTGTCCAAAGGGAAACTAAACAGAGTCCTGACCCTTGTGGCAGCCTCGCCAGCTCACTGCTTGTAGAACAGCAGAATCCATTTCCAAATCTCATATTACTTATTTRTTAATGCTTCTATACACAGTAACTCTAAGTTGAGTGCAGATCATGAAATTCTCATTGAGTAAACTGGGACTGCTGTGACAACCATGTACCCTTGTATTTTCTGTGCAAGTAAAGCACAGGGAAGAGTTCCTAATGACTGCAGGGGAAGCTAGAGCAGACCCGAGTCTTTCTGTCTCTGTCAGGCTCCTTCCATCAGCTCCTCCTTAATGCTCTTTCCAATACTGAGAAAGAAAAGGCTAATTTGGCAACGTGGTCTCAAGCCCACCTTCCCGCAGAGCCACAGAGCCGCTTTGTCCCCCAGAGTGCTCATGTAACATTCAATTCSTGTCCCAGATCCTCCGCTGGCCTTGTGTCCAGGACTTTTACATATTTAATCTGCCTTCTTKCCTCTTCAGGACAGAAAACTGTTAGGCTGGTTAGGGCAGCTTGAACATATACCGACATAGTCATGTGCTCTTGTCCTGTTATATTTAAGATATCCAAAACTTTGCCTATCATTACTTGCAAATAAAGTGGAGAAATCAAATAATACCAGCATAGGAGCTCACATGGGCCCTCCACTGAGCACAAAAGAATTTCCAGAGGAAGGCAACTAGAGCTCTGTTTTGACCCTTCTTCTCTTCCTCACACACACAAAAAATATCTCTTCAGATGCTTTAGCTGGGGCTTATCCTGGGATCTCAGAGATTCTCACCTGCAAACAGACAGTTTCTCTATTCTATATAGCCTAGGGAATGTTCAGATTTTTTTTCTGATACAAGGTATATGTGATTTTTATTCTTTCAAATTATATTGTGGAAAATAGAAGTCACCCAATTCAGACTGCTCAACCAAGTGCTGAAAGGAATCGTATATTTTGATTTCATCAGTATCAGTCTCTCCAATCTGTGTTCTAGATAAAACAGACTAAGAAAGTGGAAAATAAGAACAAATTGGAAAGTGCAGAAACTAACCCAGGTGGTTACATGTGACATGCCAGCAATTTCTGAATACTGTTCGTAAAAGAGAAGTAGAAAATAAYGATGTAATTCAGCTAGTCAGGTAACTTACCTTGCATAACTGTGTCTTCATCTCGTAGTATGCAATCATGGGTTTTGTTGCTTGGTAATAGCTCTCGATTCCCTCCTTGGTAGTTTCAGCACTGCCGAGGTGGTGACTGCTCTGATTTCTCGTCAGAAGGCGGCTGCTCATGGTTTCTGCAGAGCAGTCCAGGCAGAACACGAGCTTTGGTTCCCCAATCTACACACAGAGAAAAACAGTTAAGTATTCAAACAACAGGCCTGGCATAATCTAGTCTTGTTTATGAATCCTGTTTTTTTTATATAACTTGAAAAATAATGGCTACCAAAAGAGATATCAAGTAAATTGTTATCAAATTATTTCCTTATTTGTCTAAACAGAAATTAAGYTTATTAAAAAACACCTCTTATTGTAGCAGCACTTAGTGATCCTAGGGCTCAGGATCAATACTTAAGTGTGCTGTACAGGTACAGAAAAGAAGACATGATAGAAAAAAATGGCTTTTTGTCTGAAGATCATTGATTTGTTCACTATTTGCTATTGTTTGATAAGAGCTTGATTGCAAACAATGTTGAACTGTTGGAAATCTTCACACAGTTATTTTTCTAACCTTTACCTGCACTTGTTTAATCTGTGAGAAGTGTATTTTTCATTCAGAGGCTGTCAAAACTATAACTTACAGAGCTTCAGGRGCAAATACAAGGAACTGTTAAAGTTCACATGAAACTGGGCCTTTCCTCAAGTCATCTAAATAGCACAGCTCTTTGTTAACAACTAAACCACTTTTTTGCACATCATGTAGCTACAGGGCATTATTCATTTGCACTTTGCCACCATTAACTAATAAAGTCTCATGTATTTTCATTCACTTAGAATGTAGGAAGAACTTCTGAGCGCCCTTCAAAAGCAACTGGAGAGGATCAACCCAACAACGACTCATTAAAAACAAACAAAGAAAACCCCTGAATCTTCACAGACTTTCTGAGCAGCCTAAAGCCAAGGTCAGGCAGGGAAAGCTCAAGTGGATGCATGGATTTACAAAACGAATGACATTAAAAGCCATCACTCTGGTATTTTACTCCAAAAGCCAAAGTCAGCTCAGGACCACAGGACCTTTTGCTGCTAAGGTGGCGGGAAGTGTATCCCTGGCAGAAAAGGTGTGATGTAGCTCCTCCCTCTGTACAAAATGAATGAAAGTTCCAATGTCTTTTTAATAGTCTGGGGCACCTAACAGACCAATGTTTCTGTGAATGGCTTCCACACTCACTCCTACTGCCCAACACTTTGCCCAGCTTCTGATGCCATCAACTGTGCACACCTTTTAGAGCAATCTGTTAAAGAAACTACAGGTTCACGGAGAAAATAGATGATTCATTTATTACTTTTTAAGCATGTATAGGACATTTGTGGAATATAATATTATAGCATAAACATTCAGTTACTTCCTCCTAATTCTCCACTTCTTTTCTCATAAACTCTGCCAAGTTCAGTCCTGGAGCTTATTTAAAGCMTTTTCTGCAGGTTCAGAGACTGACAGCTGAGAATTCTCAGTAGGTCTTAGCACATACTGAGGAAATCAATAACTCTGTGAACTGTAGCATGCTCACTTGCAAAATGCTCTTTTTATGGGTTTGTCACATRTTACTCACCACAAAAATGTTATCTCTGTTTTGCTCATTTGAAAGCAGCAGTAAGTTTTGGCAGACCTCGCTCAATGGTCAGAGATTAACTGTGATGACACAGACCTTTGCATACCTATTTCAAATAGTGCTTCATGAAGTTTTGGTAAGAAGTATAGCAGTCAGTTAGGAGACCTGGTAATTCACTAGAATTAGAAAACTGGTTCTAAAATGATGCTTTCCACTCAGTGAGAATGGTCACAGTTTGCATTAAATCTGGCTGGAATCAGCCTTTACATTTCCTGGTATTACGGAGCCTGTGAAGGCAAAGGCACAMGCTCTAGTCACTACATTGATACGGTGCCGAAATCTCAGTGATTAGCAGCAAAACTCTGTTCTTTTGACTGTGAGATTCACCCTATAATCCACCACTGCAGTCTATGAAATATGGAGATCCAAGCAGCATCACAAAAACAGCAGGGGTAATATTTAGTACTATTACTATAGTCACCTTATTTTCAAACTCTTCTGCTTCTTTCAGGTCACGGGGATACCCATCAATCAGAAATCCTTTTGTGTCCCCTAAGCTGGCAACCATAGCTTCCTTCAGGAGCTCTAGAACAATACCCTGCATTGAAAAGAAAGGCAGTTAGTTGGCTAATTAATAAGAATTGTTATTATTATTATTGTTAGCTACACTGACTTTAGTCCTACCCCTGGGATCTACTCAGATCTGCTTTGCTGAAAGCAGGTCCTGTGGATGYAGGTGTTTTTCTTTGGCTGCAACACTGAACTCCTTTTCCTTTTGGGACCAAATATGCTATGAAGAGTTAGCGTTGCAACCCACCYAAGAGCTCCCAAACTCTTAAGCTCTAGACAGCTGAGGATATTTTGCCTTTCCAAAATTAATGTTAATACCTATGAAAATTTGGGACAATGCTACAGYATTTTTCAATCTGATTGTATTTTGGTATATCATTTTAATTGTATTAAATTGTATTAAAATGGAAGTGAGAAGAGAATGTGTGTGATCAAAGCCGTTAAAATCCAGCATTTYCTGTTATTTTTCATTAAGGAAAACAACCTCTGGTCCATCTGCACCTGCTAAAGAATCACTAAGAATTCAGGCTTTGGACCTGTCATAAAAGTCAAGCCTGGCTGAGAACAACAACAGTCTCTCTCTGCATAATCTCTATTAACCTGCCATCCCTCTGCTCTGGCACGTCAACCAGCTCTGTGGGGAAGCACTGCAGCTACTGTAAATTAGAGGAGCTGCCAGGAGGACCAGCTTTGAATCTGAATGTGAAGCTATAAAGTGGACATCAAGTTTCTGTTTCCCACACTTGTGATTGTGATTTTGCAGTGCACAGTGTAGCATCTGTATAACTCTATTCAGTGATTAATCCACATTGTTTAAGGGAATGTAAAATGTCAAATCCAAGAGCATAGAAAGGGGACCTATGCCATAGATCTGGAAAGGAGAAAATTTCTCCCTCAAGTTGCACTTTTTTTTCCTTGAACAGGAAACATCTGGTTACTCTCTTATTCCAGTCTTTCAGACAATCTACCTCCTACTGGTTTGTGTAACCATTAGGACTCCCAAATAAAGCTGTAGCTTACTCCAGGCACTGGTTCACCACACTCCATGATGTCTTTGATCAATTTACTTCTCTCTGATAATGATGATAACTCATTTTGGAGAAGGTCATCAGTGGACAGGTGAGTAAATCCATATTTCTTGGCTAACTGTTCGCATTGACTACCTTTGCCAGAGCCAGGGCCACCTTTGTGGGGGAAAAATATCTAGAATTAGAAAAATATAAAGTTTTTTTCTCAAATTATAGCAACTAAGAAAATCCAAGGAAAATTATTTGACTRCCTGTTATACATTTTTTTAGCAAAGACACTTAATGCAGTGAAACAGATAATATACATCCATTCTGATACACCCCACTGTTGAATCAAAAAAATCCATATTGAAGCCAAAGGAGCCTCAAAAATGTGAAGCTCTTGCAGAAGAGAATCTGCTCCTAAAACAGAATGACCTTGGAAAGGAAAGACATTAAACAGCAGCTAGCTGGGAAGGGAGTCCATGTGTGAATTGTGATTCTTGTGAAGGAAAGAATTTGCCTCGGTTTTACAGAAGGAAAAGGTGATGAAAGCTGCGTGTGTTATTCAGGGATGCACATGAGACCACAGTAACTCCTTTGTGCTGTGGTAAATATAAGAGTTACTGTCCCCTTACACGTGTCTTGTGAAGGCTACACAACAGCCATGCCCTGAAGCTGCTCAATACCAAGGATGAAGGGTTAGTTACACAACTAACTGCACTTGACTTGCTCTCTGTGCACTCCAGGGCAAAGCAGGAGAGCGTAACCCCCAGCCCCTCGGACACTGCTTAGCAATGTGTGACCAGCACACTGACCACCACCAGTTGTTGCACACCCTGGCTTATACTGGGCTGGGAGCTGGAGGTTCACCCATGAACCAGGGCTCGGAGCAATGTGCTGGGGGGCACCAGGACGAGTTGCAGCCAGTGATGCTCAGCCAAAGCTACTCGAGGGACTTTTCCACYGACCGAGGCAGAGCACCTGTGAGCAGCCCTGGCCAGCTGTGTGCTGTCCCACCTCCTGAGTGCAAGCAGGACTTTCCCTGGGGTTGTGGCTCAGATACTGGTATATGGGCAAAAAGCAGAGCCATCTGTGTCCCAGCCTTTCAAAATGCTGCATGTAAGGCCTGTCCTTATGTGATGCTTGTCTGTCTGCACCCTGAGCCTCTGTGATGGCTGATGGGTGTGGGTGGTTCCTGTGAGTTTGGGAAGGCTCCTTCCCCTGGATCCTGCGTGTGTGGTGGACACCTCTGGAGCAGTGAGGAGAGGTGAGGGGGGCCAGGATGGGAGGTCTGGGCAGTGTGTATGTGGTCTGAATGATGGGACTTAGGGGAAATGAGAAGTTCTGTAGGAGCATTTCTGCATCTTTAGGGATCTGTTCAGACCTAGTTTCATGGTGGGAGGTAACTATATCTTTGCAGTCCTTAAATCAAGTTAAATTAAATTAACTGTTGGGGCTCGCAAATACAAACACGTATCTCAACTATGTGACTTCAAGATGTTAAAAGTGTGATGCAGAATAACATGATTTTTTTTTTCTATTGCTTGTATTTCTGTGAGTATAGGAATAAGGGTGAACCTGGCATCACTGTCTTCTGATTTAGAAATTTTCTCCCCCATTTGCATTCAGTCTTAAGAAATGCATTGTGCCAAGCAAAAACCTTCAGAGGACTTATACTGCTGTAGCTGAAAATAGATCATATGATACAGGCAAAAAATCAATGGCTTTGTCTAGTGTAACCTTGAGTCTCTTAATTTCACAAAAATAATTACCAGTGTGTAGTGTGAGAATCACATTTGTGAAACTATTTCAGCCAGAAACATTTCTGTCACAATCTCATTTTCTTTTTAAAAAGGCTTTTCTATGTAAATTGCATGTTGTTTTTTCTATTGTTTCAATTAAAAAAATCTTTTGTAGAAATCATTGTAGCCATTGGAAGAAAATAAGGCATAGTAAGAGTGGATGTACAGAAATAGATAAAATGTAATGAGTGTTAAATATCTTCAATGGCAAGTAATTTAACTTTTAGATTSTCTTAGGATTCTGGATTAGTAGATTTGTGCATGCATGTTCTGGCTAATGCACTCTGCTTTTTGGCCCTGGATATACAATAGTAATTTCCTCTTACCTATTTGTGTGTACATTAAATTTTAGAAAGAAAATACAGCTATAAAGATTCCTTTATTCCACACATAACTGCTTATCTTTTGAACGTAGCACCAACATAAAAATTTCATACTAGCCCTTGATATAGTAAATGAAGCTTGATATCTACTTAGAAATGGCAATAAAAGGTCATTTTTAAGTTTGGCTTAGCTACTGATGACAAATTTTCAGAAAAGTTGATGTGTTTCTATGACACATTTATCTGTTAATACTTTAAGGGAATGTTGAGCCCTTTAAAGAAGAAAAGACATGTGTTACGTGCTGAAAAGCATTAACTCTTACCTTAAAACAACTGACTTCATGGACATTGCTTTTGACATTACTCAATGTGCAGCAAAGCATCTTACAGCTTTGCAAATATGTGACCCATATACAACACCCTTTTCTTTCTTATCAGCAAATGAGATTTTTGAACAGGCTAAGCAGGACCTGTGAAGAGCCTGAGTGCTCCCAGGGAACTCTGCAGTACCCAGGGCTTAACACACACTCAGCACTTGTGCCAGTATTAATTTATGTCCTTAAAGTTCAAGCATTAGTTAAGGCCTTATCTCAGTCTGAAGACTAGTGTTTAATGTGACTGATAAAGAGCTGTCTAGGTGGGAAAGAATGTGAAACTGCATTTCCTTGCTAATTAGATATTTTCTTCCTGTTCAGTGAGCAGATTCATAGGACTGGTGCAGGGCAGCCTTAATGGCAAGTTAGCCCTGTGATAGAGAGGCTGATTATTAAATCATGCTGTTGCAAAATTTTTATTTCATCCTTTTAGAGGGTCTTGCTATTAAATCTATGTACTTTTCTAAAAAATGAGTTGTTAGTAAAAACCTAAATARTTAAACAAGCTTTGAAGAACCTGTTGTTCRTTATAATGAAAGCTTCACAAAAATACCTTTATTAAAGAAAACTTTGCTGCTATTTTATTTGACTTTTTTTTTTTTTTTAATAGAAAAAACTTGGAGCCTTGAAAAGAAGTGGCTAGGTTTCCACAACAGGAGAACTGTTAGAAGGAAAATATGCCTCTGCTTTTGTTGTGCCAGCATTACATTCTTTGTGAACGCTGTCCTTTTTTGTGTGTGTGCTGTTGTTTTCTTCTCTGCCTACATATATCTTTGGAAAAAGCTCACACATGGTAACTTGCCCTTCAGATTTAATCACCTTCTTTAACTTTCATAAGGATTTAAAAAAGATGTAGAAAATTCCTAGGAAAAGTATGAATCTGCGGTGACCAGTAGGAGTAGGTAGAATTAGCATGTGGAGGGGACCCTCCATGCCTGTTTTTCACAAGCAAGAAGTTTGAATTGCAGYTTACATGGGCTCTGCTGACCCCGTGGGAGCAGACTGCACAGCTCCTTAATCCATGCGGAGGTAAAGGATAAGCAGCACATCTGTGCATTTCTGTCATTTCTGTTAGGCAGAACAAGCTGGGGTAGGTAGAGGGGTGTGAGCCACTCCTCCAGCTATAAGGCAGGGGGTGGGAAAAAAAAAAAAAAAAAAAAAGAAATACTCTACTTGGCTTTGAGATGCATTTTGCTCATAACCAAACTGGGAATCTTGGCTCACAGGGTTGGATAGAGCCTGACTCTCAGCAGTTCTGGGGTGCTTATTGTACTACATTTAACAATTCTAGCATTTTTAACATTTAAAGGTCAATTTATTAAAAAGCTACATTCAGAATGTGATAGTCCTGCTGATATATCGCTCAGCTCATTCTTGAGAAATGGGTGCTTTCTGTGTTCCTTTGTGCTTTACAGCGCGAGCAGCSAGCACGTATGTGGAACCAGAGCAGCAGACAGCAGTTGCGTGCAGCTGTGCATACTGATAACTGAGACAAGGCTGAGCTCAAATGCCTGGGCGCTCCCTGGGCATGGGCAYCCCTTCCTCCAGGCTGATCCAGCTGCCTGTGAAGCTGTGTAAGGAGATCTGCTGGGAAACAACTTCTTGGCAGCAAGGCTGACTGAAGTTGTCTGTCGTCTTCTCCTGTTTAATTATTCAATGCACAAATGCCTCGCAGAGGGCAKTTCAAGGGGAGAAAATGAAGTGGTCTTGGTGGGCGGGAGAAATGMCAAGTGCTCAAGCAGCACTTGTGAATGCTTCACTGCGGTGAATTATTAAACTCGGATATTTCACTGATTTCAATTTCCTTACATCCCTTCTCTCCTTCCTTGACTGAAACCCTACCAAACTACAGAAAAAACCTACCAGTTCATGCAGGTGATTTAAATGCACTGGTCTCGTTTAGAGCACAATGTCACAAGCAGGTGAATTCATGTGAGGTGGCTGGGATGGCCGTGAGGGTGAGGAGGGACAGGGACCCACAGTGGTGAGTGGCAGAGAGTGAGCAGCATGTGCTCTGGCTTTGCTGCCTGGACTATTAATAAAGTGGATCTTTATGTAAACATAAGCAGTAGATAAGAACAGTAGATACAGGCACACTGGGTTGTCTCAACTTTTAAAATCATTGAATTGTAAGAGTTCATCAAATGTCAAATATTGTGTTGACTTATATAAACTGTCAACAGCAGAATTTACAAGGCAGTCCCACCACCCATTTTGAAATGTTTCAGTTCTTAGATCTTGTTTTTTAATTCTTATCATCCTTGTGTTATGGAAAAGTCAGAGTTTRGGATTTTGGAGATTTTTTTTTCTAAAGAATCAGTCTGGTAATTTTACCAATACAGCTGGGTTTATTTATAGAAGTAAAAATGAATAATTCTGAAAAGCTTATTCTTTATTTATCATATTTGCTCAAATATCAGTAGCACTAAAATATTAATATCTGGAAATGATGATGCTACTTAAGTAACCTGGTTAAAATAATATCTGCTGCTTGCCTGTCTGGATAAGATATCTATATTGTTGTTTAATTGAAACAACTTGATTGTTATTCCAGTTCCAACATTAGCTCTAATGTATATYGTTGCTAATTAGGTTGTTACTTGGAGAACCTTAAAGGGAAGTTAGCAGCAGTGGGAGCTGCCTGTTTTTCCCCCTCTGTCTCTTCTTATAAACTATCTCTATCCATCAGCTATKGCAGATGGTCCATTTATGTCAATTATTTGGTAATTTCTTCAAATGCATCATCTCATATGTCTAGTTTCAAAAACCTCTTTACAACCACCCTACTATTTTTTCTTGAATACCTCTGTGTCATGAATGAACATATTCCTTATCACACTTGAGACAGAAAGCTCTATGAGATACTTTTTCTTCAAACTTGTAATGTCTTGGACAGCCTTTAAGAAAGATTTTGTTCTGCGCTTATATGTTTTGCAATGATCAGACTTTATCTCCTGAGTGGTCATGGAAAGCTGCTTCACTGCCCAGGCAAATGGCCTGGTTTTGGCTAGGGTGAATGTTGTTAAACCTGGAGTGCACAAGGATCCAAACTCATTTGGGCACATTTACCTGCCTGAAAAGGCAGCAAGGAAAAAGAGCCACTGAAACAGCACCAGCAAGAATCCTGCCCCRGGAATGCTCCCTACCTCCACTAGCCAGATCTAGTGAAATCAATATGTATCAGCCAGATGAGCAATTCTCATCCCTTGGTCAAATCAAAAAAACAGAGTCTAGAAAAATGTACCCTTGCTCTGCACATCTGACTTAAAGGTGGATTTGGGTTTGTTCTGCCCTTTAAATCCTCCCGTTTTTGACAAGAAAGCGTTTTCTTGCAGAATTGAGACTTGGTCAAACTTTCCRTTGAAATATGTTCTATGTTCCAGGGAAACTAGGATTTTTTTTTGATTGAATTCTTTGAATTTATTGAATACATATTTTTTTATGCTCCTATTAAACATTTATTAGCATCTGAGATGGATTTATTAGCAAAAGTGCATTCAGAATAGGTGAGTTTTGAGTATTAACATTTGAGTTTTAAGATAATGATTGATGGGCAGCCTATAAAATTTTGTATTTGGAAATTAAAATCTACCCATTCAAAATGAAGAAACAGTAAATGCTGAAATGTATGCCTTTGCATGCACAAATTTAGAGGTTTTGAGCTTCTTTACACTTTTTTTTTTCACTCTAGCTGCTTGTAGAAACATGAACATATCTTTCTGCTAAGATATATGAGGCAGGGAGAATGAAAATTTGTCCTTGCAATAAACTGCAGGAAGAGCTACTCCAGTAAATATAGACTTACAGTTTATTTAAAGATGGAGAATTAATTAACATGTCTTTTCTCTTAAAGATTAGCCTAGGGTGAACTGTTCAGAAATCCTGTTTAGTTTTTCAAATCTATCACATAAGACACAGGCTCTCAATAAGTTGAGGGTCCTACTACTTGCTGTAAGAGGATGAGCTAGAAGTATAGGGCACATATGTGCATTCTTGGTACATTTCTTTAATGTCGCATGAACTCCAAACAAAACTTTTATTCATTTATTTTCAGAAGTCACATTTCTCTTAGGAAAAGAATGCACAAAATAATACATATGTCTGAGCATCTTAGGCCCTAGGAAATTTACTGCTCTTATGCAATATTGTCAAGGCATTCCAAAAAACTCTGCTTGATACAAAAGCATACCAAGAAAAAAGTGGATTTTCAATTGGTATAGTTGTAATTAGATTCCTACTTACCAACTACAAAAATGATATTTGCTCTCCTCATATCTTCTGCAAAATCTAGAATGAAAATAAAATCTAGTTATAACAGCTATTCATTTTAATCTTGTCTACCTTTCCCACTATGTTGAATAATATTCCTGCAAGGTCATACATGTGAAACTTTTATTTTTCTTTAAATTAGACTTACTTTCTGCTAATACTCTGTGTTTCAAAAGGAACCATTATCCACAAGCTTATTTTTGTTGCAGCTTTGTAGTTGTCACTGCAGATGTGGCAAAATGATTTTACTTGAAAATTAGACATTACATAAGTACACTGGTTTAAAAATAAATAACATCAATAAAAATGAGAAACGGATGCATCTTGATGTTATAATGTGTCTCCTGAGCGATTATATCTTTGAATGGACAATTGGATTAAAATAGATACAGAAATGTGGTCACATTCCATTAAGATTTTATATTCAGTGCATTAAATATGAGATGTCTTAGATTTTACCTTATTGTTACTTTTAGCAATATCATATCTCAACTAAAATCCAGATTTTACTGTCACTTTAGCACCTAAGCTACTGTTCTTGTTTAAGCTCTGCCTTTAGTTGAAGTTGTATTTGGAAAAGGAGAAAAAAAAAAAAAAAACTTCTGAATTCTGAATTCCATTTATTGTCCTGATAATGTTATACCAAATTGAATGATACGTTGTAATGTCTGAGCACATAGAAGAATGATGTCTTACTGCACATAGAAGTCTCTAAAAATTTCACTATATAATCTAATAAAAAGTTGTTCATTAATCCTAAAATCTCCTAAAACCTTTCAGCAAGCTTTTCACAGCTACCAATTTCTGAAAACTCTTTTCAGATTTGCTGGTTAATTAATCAGATAATGCTGGTTAATATTTTTTTCTAGCAATTTTGGAACCACACTGTAGAAGTATTTATTCATATGCCTTCAAATAAAATAATTCAACATGATCTTCACTTTATGAATGATCTGGATTTCCTTCTATGTAACTATTCACATCTAAGTACAATCAAAGGTTTCAAAAATAAAATGCAACTTTATAGTAAAATGAAGCTTACCTCCTGTGTTCTCATAACAAGAAAAACTTGACTGGTCTTCCTCCTGTTAATTAAGCAATTGATAAATTGACTTTTTTGCATAGTTTGCATTTCTTCTTATATCTTTATTTGTATGTCTTATTATCTTCTCCGTCTTCTAACCTCTCAATTTTAATATATCTTGAGATAGGGTTAACAGTGACACAGGAACATTGTTAATACTCTTTCACTCTGCAGAACATAAAAATGGAGAACTCAGGATARTATGAGATGATTGACTGGGCCACACTATTACTGTGAGGAACAGCTCTGTTTTAATTTCCAGCTGTGCGGTCCTAGCATATTATATAGGCAATGGATGCCCATACTGAATTGCTTGCAAAATGTGCAACAATAACCTGTTAACGCTGGAAACTAACATCAGTGTTCTCTAGCAGTGAACTACAACAGAAAGTTGAAGGTAATCTTTGGTCTAAATCCATCTGAATTTGTTGACTTTTCATTGTTGAATCAATCCAAATTCATTGCAAGCTACAATTTGTTATGAGGGCTGCTGAGTTTTAAGAGAAATTACACTAGGGACTTAAGAGAATTTACACCATGGTATGCTTGATTGACAATTGTCCATTGTTCCCCTCATGCTTGGCCATTTAGAATTACTTTGTCATGTACTGCACACTATTGCAAACTAAGAATTATAAATATTGGTCAGCAAGAGGGTCAGAGTAGGTGTTCTTTGCTCTTTTAGAAATGTGTGTGTTGTTGATATGTAGTTACATGTGCATGTTATAGGAGTGCTTAGTATGAGTTCWCTATGCTAGTCCTCCCAAATAAATACAGTTATAATTCATAGAATTATTATGCTCAATACTAGTATGTGACTATCAAACTCCAGTCCTTTGGACGTTGTTTCAGCACCCTGCCAGCGCTAGTCACTCTGACAAGTAGATGCTACAGGAATAGCTCCAGTGAAATGAGGAGCAGTGGGAACAGCCCGGCTAACTGCTGGCCACTCTCATTTGTGAGGCTCTTGCTCTACACCTGCAGGTTCCTCATTATGTTCCCATTACCGTGGGAATACAAGTACTCTTGGTTAGAGGCTCAAGTACCATTACATGGATGAGATGGAACACTTTACTTTCATGTCTTGATTCATAGTAATTCTCAGCCTATTATCCTGGAGTAGTAGGGTTGCTAACTCAAAAAAATAAAATAAACAATTGAACTTGCAAGGTTTGCAGGAGAGTTATTCAAAAATGAGAGAATGATTTCTTCCCTACTATGTCACTTAGAGTATAGGTGATATTTTTAATCCTGCATGTGTAAGAATATGCATTTCTTTTTCTCTTTTTTCTTTTTTTTTTTTGATATCCTAGCATAATATACCTTTTGATCCTGCAAAATATGTGTTAGATAGCAAAGCCCTGAATTTTAGATTAAGTTTCTTTTTATGCCTTTGAAGGTTTACAAATGTAAATTACTTTAGGCAACAAAATGTAAGTTTAATTCGAGATTTCTTTCAAAAATCATGATCACGTTTAGAAAATCATATTATGTTCAGATGAAAGTAGCATTGCTTCTACCCTTTCAAATAGTGTTCTTTCTTATCCTCTATAATTAAAGAATAAAATTGCATCAGTAACCCGGTGAGCTGCTCAGAGCAGCAAGTGATAATATAGGGAAGTTTATGTCAGGARCAGCCATAACATTTTAGAATGCAAGTATGTAAAAAATAGAAAGATACGTGTAGCTAAATAAGGTATTGGCATTTTTTTTTTTTATTTGGTGAGCCATAATCGGGCTCATGTAAGGTAAGATATCATGAAAGGTCATTAGAGTGARTTCTACTAATTACAACCTTTGAAGCAGGTAAGCAGCAAACAGTGACAGTGGCATAAAAAACAGAACATCAAAACACATTTTAAAATGTGTATTTATGTCTGTTCATTTCTCAGATGCAGAAATATTCTTTTAAAAATTATTCTTTTTTTCAGAATTTTCAAATATATTTCACTTTTAGAAAGCACTTATGTGAATGGCACTACTGTCCCACTGAATTTAAGTAATTCTACAAAAATGTTATTCACACAGAATTAAACTAGAAGGAAAGATCCTGAGCTCTAGGGAAGCTGTGAGAAAAGTCAAGGAGGAGTAAACTAGAAAAGAGGAACTACGATGAACCTGGTTTTGATGCTATGGTATTCATTTGTGCATGGTTTTCACACTTCTCTGTGTGAATTATAGTAAGAACCATTTCCTCTCTTCCCTTTCCTCCAGTCTCCCCAAGGATCAGCCAGTTTCTCTGCTGAGCTGGGTGAAGAGCTGGAGAGGGTTTAAGCAGCAGAACAGCTGCTGCATTCCTGRGTGAGCTGTTTCCATCGAGCTCACAGGCAGGTGAGGACAATATTTATTTTATGGGTCTTTGGCTTTGAAGAAAGGTGGGTAACCAGCCTTYCAGCTGCCTTTGGAGCCAGGTAACGGGCACACAAACATTGTCTGCAAACAYATCAATTAACAGGGAGCTCTCCTGATGTTTGTGACTTACGCTAATACTGAATTGGGAGAAGTCATATAAATTTAAAGAAAGAAGTAGAACTTTTTTTTTTTAAATCAAATGGAGGGGATGTCTTTGTTAGGTTTTAACTACAAGTGCTGTATGAATGTACACTGCTTGCTGAAGGGAGGGCTCTGCTATTAACCACTGCTGTTATCCCTGGGTTTTGTGTTTGTTTTTTTTTTTAATGCGACAATAAAACTCTCTTTTTAGTTTGTTGCTCTTGAATATTTCACTAAAATGGCAGTTAAGTGTCTGATACATATTTTTTTTTATTCAGATTTTCTACATATATAGAGTTTCTCCTAGGAATTTACTGAAGAGGATATATGAGTATGGATAGAAGTGTTATGTACTAAAAGTAGACTGAGAAACAAAACTTCTGAACTATATTTGTAAGGTTTGCAAAAGGTAGATGAATCACTCTTGTTTACCAGCTGATTCATTTTTCTTTCTTGGTTGGTGTCAAGCAACATTTTGATTAGAAACTGTAGCTCAATTAAACTGTGCAAAAATGWCACTTTAAAATAATATATTTAAATACCACATTTAAGGTAACATTTGACAATTAAGGGGAAAAGTGCMTCATTTTCAGGAAAAAAAAGATTTTATCTTTTCAGGAACACTCTTGTATGCCTTTGACAACATTATAAAAGAGGGAAAAATATATTTAACTATGTATGTGAAGTCCTTAGGAAAAAATAAGATCATTCAGCACTTCTCTAATACATCAATGCACTTTAATATAATTGAAAATCTGTAGCAGACTAAGAGAATAAAAATGAATACAGGCAGCTTCCATATTCCACTGCTTATTTCCCTTGTTTTAGGAAACTATATCCTTTTTTTCCCCTTATTGCTTTCCTCTATAGACTGAATTCCTCACCAGAGGACTAAATGAGACTGAACTGAAAATCCACCATGATTGTTGCGTAAAATTAAGCTCCATTTTCAAGTTGAATTTGAGAATGTAAATATTCAAAGAAATGTGTCAGAGAGAAATTATTTAAACAAAGACTCTGCCAAGAAAATATCTGCTGACAATTTAACTTGTTTAAGTAAAAAAAATACAGCATATGAAAATGTAACTAGTAGGGAATGACATAATTCATAGTATAGAACGTATGGGCACGATCTCTTTGCTGTTGTCAGTTATGCAAAACACTTGTACAACTCTGACATATTTCTACAAAGATCTTCTTTTAGAAATAGAGACAAGGGCATTGCTGCTGTTTTATCACAGAGAAAAAGTGACTTCTCCCAGAGAAATCTTCTCTGTAGAAGCTGAACCAGGTTTAAGACTTAGATGTCCTCTTTCACTTGTTTTAGATTGTATTATGTTTACTTTGAATTCTTATTCTTAAATAAAGTAGTATTACATTAAATCTCAAATATTTGCAGATGATGCTTCTTTACCTAGTAATCTTAAAATAACTTTTACTTGTCAGTGACACAAACTTCTCATTCAATAAAATTAGTCCAGGAAATCAAAAAGCAGTCTGAGAGGTCTGTTAYGTATTAAGTACTGTCTAGGTATATACAATTTGCTTAAGCATAGTCCAGTCTGTTTAGAACTGGATTAAACACACATATATCTAATCATAGAGAATAGTTTTTCATATTGAGATATTCAGCCACTGCTTATTAAAAACTTAATCAGTGAGTGATTAATCACTTAATCCTTGCACATGCAGTATGTTTGCACTCAGCCTGTGAAATGTAAAGGCCCTAAGCCAGCGATCACCAGGCAAGGTTCTATATTAGAATGAAAACATCGTGGCTTGTCAAATCTTATCTGTGGAATWTGTCAGAGTCTTCTAAACGAGCGGATGTTTGGTTTTGATGAGATACACTGTGCTAGTTGCAGGCTTTATATAAGGGCAATGATTCCTGGGAAAGGATTTTATGAACCATACAGTTGCCTGCCTTTAAATTTGATCTATGATTCAAATCGTTTTTTGAGGCTGAGCTACTTTCTGCAAGCTGAGTGTTGAAGCGTGCCCCTGGAAAGTGCTCTGTCCTGGTCCTGAGCTAATAAATATGTGCAAGTAAGCTAAGTTACAGTGAATGCATTTAGACATCAAGGCTTTTCTTTCCCCAGCAGGCATATCTTCCTAAGCAGTTTATACCACTCGGCACAATGGAGATATTGGTGTCAAAAGGGACTAACAGGAATTAAGGTGAGGACTGTGTTGTGCTATTTATGTCGACTGTTTGTCTGGAGTGCTTAGAATCTGAAAGTGCAGATTGTGTTTAAAAAATAATTTTGTAATCGCAGTTACAAAACACTAATAGATTGTTAGATACCCATGACTCTCTTTTACTAGGGCTTCTAGCAAAGACAAGAGTCTTTTTTTTTTTTYYCCCTCAAATTAAATCTTACTGTCAGTCCTCAAAAGAGGATGAATCAATAGCAATACAGAGATGGGAAGCAAGTTTTTTTTAAACAGCTATAAACCAAGATCATGTATATCTGACTCATAAGGATATGCAAGTGTTTTTGGTTATTTGGGATTTTTTTAGATTTTTTATTTTATCTCTWGATAATAAACATGAGAGTACTTATAGTACTCTTTGAGTATAGTACTCACAGTATTGAAAAGGAGAAAATTCCAATCTGTTGCAATGGAGAGGGTTAGGTTTTCTGCTAAGTTCTGTAGCCTTTTAATGACTAAAAATACACATACGATTACTAAGCAAGAAATCAAAGCAAACCTTATTCATATGAATTTAAAGACATTAGCACACTAGAAAAAAAAACCTGTCCTCTTAGGGGCCATCTTACTTAGCAAGAGATGTGGTAAGAACTCCCATGTCAACAGGGTAGCAGGTTTTTGCATGACCAGAGCAGCACAGAAGCCTTCTGGTAAACTGGACATTTCATTTGCGGTTTGTATATTGGATTAAGTTGGATCAGATTTGAAGAATTGGTGCGTGTGGATGCTATTTTATTTTTTCACTTTATTCTTTCTTTTCTTTTTCTTTTTTTWAAAATATTGTCGTGGTTTGAAGAAAGTCTAGCCCTCAATGTTTTGGACTCACTGCAAGACTGCCTAAATAGCTATGAAAGAAATGTAAGCAAATAAGCTAATCTACATTTCCATGCATAGTTATTATCTGTTGTCCATTCCCAAATACTTTGTCATGTACAATTTGGAGCTACTTATCAGTAATCTACTGATATAAAATGTACCCAATGCCTAAGAGTTTCTCCACAGAAGTTATTACTATTTTTTCATTCAATATTCCTCCTCTCTGTGCTTAGTATTTACGCAGYGTGGTAGAAACTCTCCCAGGGGCTTCATGTTACATTAAGCCAGCGCAGCAGAGCAAAGTGCAGCAGGGAACCGTGCAGCGCATTTCAGCTGCAAGGGCAAAGTGCTGCTTAGCTCCTGTGTTCAGATCCCTAATGACAGTGATGATGAAGGCATCCCTCAAATCTTAGGCCATTTGCACTGTGCCTGCCTTGAACTATTATATTATTGCTTAACATTGCCTGCTAAATGCTGGAATTTGATTCTTTTTTTAACTTTAGATGGAAAAGGCTTTTCTGCAAAGCAGTGTGAGTTAAATTTCCRTTCGGTCTGTGGCACAAAATACAAATGTTTTGATAAGATTCAACTAGTGAAATTTAGAAATTCCATCTTTTAGAAGAACTCAAAGTTCAATTTTTTCATATAAAACACTACGTAGTAGGATTAGCCTGAWAATGTGTGACAGGGTTTATCATTATTTTAAATGTGGGAAATCATCAAAAGACTATGCAAAGGAAAATCTTATATTACTGCAATAATATGGAAGGACTATGGCACAGGGGGAACACAAAAACATTAAATTCTGAGGTTGGGTTGAGAAGCATGAGAATGTGGAAAAAAAAAATCAACAATGAGATAGATGGAAAGGCACAGACAGAGTAGCCAAAATCCAAACACAGATGTTCAGTAGAAATGATAAAGTGAAAAACTCCTCAAAGTGAGCAAGAGGTTCCTGGCTTGTAGACTCTCATACAAGTCTCCTTAGCCTAGAGGTGACTAAGGTCCACTAGAAGTAATATAAAGAAACAGCGGGGGATGCAGCTTGCATGGATAAAGCTAGTAGTTCTGCAGGTATGTGTGACACAACTAATTTTTAAGGTTCTCCATTTGATTAAGGCCAGGAATTCAGCATGGCTGGGAGATTATAAAGACCAAAGAAGTCAAGGACAGGCTGTAACTTCCACTTGCAATCTTCTGGGCATTTGATTTTCTCTAGAATAATTTTTAAGATGATTCTTTTGTTCATTCTTATTTGTCATCTAGTAATCATGCCTAAGCTGGCACTATGCTCAGAAGTGTATCTTCTACCACCTACTCCCCTTCTAAGCTCTTCCTAACCCAGTGTAACCCAGGGTGTTGCAGCATTAGTCAAGTATAAAGGTGGCCTATCTGGAAGAACAATGCTGGACTGTTGTTTAAAGCCCCAGGATGTCCCTGCACTGAGAGGGCAACTGCAGTGCCCTGAGCTACCCACAGAGCCCCATGCAGCAGCTCCAGAGCCACAGGAAGGAGAAGAAGAAAACGGGGTTGCAAAGATTTCAGCTCACCTTTGGCAACTCGGTCCCCTCTAATAGGTGTAACACTAGAAAGCCAAGCTGGATAATGTCTATGAAATGAGGAACAAACAATTCTTTCTGGAATTCCAAAGAAAATATGCAGAATGAGCCCATGGCAGTTTTGTTTTCCCATTTCACCATGATCTGCATGTGGAAACCACAGCAGGAKGCTTCTTTCCGAAGCCTTTGCTACGGTGTGCGACGGTGACTTTGAACAAGGTAAYTCCTCCAAACTTACAAAAATGATACAGAAGCATCAAAATAGGCKTGCTTTTGAGCTTATTAAGAGAGCACTTTGTAACAGGCAAACGGTAGTACTTTGTTTCTAGTTTGCTTTTCTCTTTTAGCATTTAATAGGACAGTTGCCTTGGCAACGTGAACTGAACAGCTTGTTCATTGACTCGGGTACGTTTCTATTAAACACCCGCTCGCTGGAGGCAGCGTGGCCGCTCGAGCCCTTTCATCTCCTCGGCTGTTTCTGCGTTACCTCTTTCTGTCAAGTCCCGTAAGCTAGGTTGAATTCCACCTTTCAGGGCACTTTAGCACAGATGAATGTGAGGAGAACAAGTTTCATGATCCTTCTCTGAATGACTTCAGGCGTCTCTTCTCTAGCACATACTCCAGCTTTTAGTCAGGTTCCTTATAGAACCAGAACCTGCGATCCAAAGTGATACTGCTCCCCACCAGCGAAAGGGAACTGCCCTTATGTTCTCAAGCAGAGAAAGGATATGATTCAAATATCACAGTCTAATCCATGCCTGACCCAGCCTTCTCTTAGATAATGTAGCTGGTGTTTGTCTGATCCTGCCGGGTAGCTTCCGGAGTCCCTTCTCTTGCTCACGGAGAGGTGCAGTTTGCTCCTTCTCGTACTGAAACCTAAAGCTGAAGCGCTTTGACTGAACTGCTAAATAAGTTCTTTAGATTGAGCCAGCTGTACCTGATGCAGAGAAACCAGAGATGAAAAAATGTGAATAGTATAAAAGAGAGTAAAGGGAGGAAGGAAAGCGGTCTTTGGTTCAATCCAGACAGCTTTAGCTAAATGAGGCTTTCAATTTCCTGTTGCCCTCTGTTTTAGAGATATTTTGGTTCTGCTTCTGTATTGAAAAGCTTTTCAGGGACTTTTGACTGTCAACACTGAATATTACCATTTGAGTTTGAAGCTACAATAATCATTCAGGCTGCAGATATTCTTATACCCTTGGTAGTCGTGGAGTCTGCTTTTCATCAGCTCACTGAAAGTTCCTCTTTCCTGCTCTCTACGGCCAAACCCATTACGTGTTCTGGTTTGAAAGTGACAGCCAGCTCTGAGAGGAATTGTCACCACATGGCAATAACTTTTAATCAAGAGCTTGTTTCCTCTCATTAGAATGAGTGCAAATCTGTTTGAGAGCTTTCCTTGCCCCCACTTCATTCTGGCTTTACTTGCTGCTTTTCAAGTGAACTGTCACACTTTCTAATTATACAACACTCTGCACTTGCAGCAAAGATCAGGTTATGCAATTTGCTTAATTCAGTTTGTCACTGCTGAATAGAAAACCTTGTATTCTATTTCAGTCTCTTTAACATCTATTTTTCTTAGGTCTTTGACATACTTTGGCCAAATTAAAAAAAAAAAAAAAAAAAAAAAAAAAAAAAAAAAGCAATCTCGCCTTTGCATGTGCCATTTACAACTTTAATTCCATTTACCTAATTGCATAATTAGATCTAGTCTGACAATGGGGCAGGGAAATACCTCAGTTATGAACTGGTAATTTGTGCTGAGGCACAAAAATATGTTTGTGTGTTTTGTAGATATGAAATATACCCTGAAGAAAAAGATTGGATGAAGCTAAGTATTTTTTAAGTTTTTTACTTGAAGTTTACCTGCTGTTTATAACCTTTATTATCTTTTTTCCCTAATTTAAAGAGTATCTATTTTCATTTCTACCTATCTGAGGAATGGTTTTCTTTAATTAGTCTGAATATTCCTCAGACTATTTACTGTTATCTTAAAAGCCTTGTTTTCACCGCAAAATAACTGGATGCTCTTTTGTTCTGGGAGTCTTTGATAGGATTCAATTTTTTAATGCTCCCTTTTGGCCTCAATGCACTTAAAATAAGCCAAATGGTAGTTTTCTAATTATAAAATCCATTTCTTTAAGATAAAACCTATTTGAATTCTGGAATCAAGTGGCATTATATCGACAACCTCTCTGGCAAAGCCAAGAAATTGAATAGCAAGTAGAAATGAACACAGTGAGCAGTGAAAACCTGTATCATGCTTGAGAGCCTTCCAACAACAGAAGACAATCCTTATTCAATCCTTAAACAGACACCAGTCATGAAAGTGAAATATATTTATTTCCTCTGCCAGGAGCTATCCTGTTGCACCCAAAAATGAATAGCCACAAACACATTCCTGGCAACTTAGTAGAGGTGGAAATACCTGAAACTAATTAGTTTATTGTATTTTGTATTTTTTGTGTTTTTTTTTCAGTCAAGTCATGACCGCAGAGAATGCTACCAGGGGAAAATTTGACTGATTCTTCCACTAAATATTCCAAACAAAAGGCACTTCTAGAGGCACTTGCATCTGWCAGTTAAAGATCTGAACAGGACTGGAAAGGTATTAGTGACAGAAGAAATTTSCCCCCACGCACAAACCCGTCAGTCCAACCCTGAGGTGCGTATTTTCCTACRGTTTTTTATATTGTGTTAGACTTTGAGTGCAGACTTGGTGATTACAAGTGTTCTAGCTCTGAAGCATTCATGCATAGCTAGTTGAAAGTAATTAATTTAATTGTACATTCATTTATAATGTGTTACACAGAGCTGAAGCCTTTTCTGAATCATGTTTTAATTCGATGTACCCTTCCAGAAAAGACRGATCTTTGCCTATGTTAGCGTTGTTTTGCACTGTTTCCATGATGGGTACAAAATGTTTCTTAGAACCCCTTGGCTGTATTTGGAAGAACTTCTGGGTGAAGCAATGACTATGTCGATAGTTGAAGACCACCACTCATTCTCCTTGTTACTGCCTGCCAATAAGGGAGGTTATTCTGGGAGAAGGGGTGTATGTCTAAAGAACTTGGATAATTCTTTACAGGCTTAATTTACCCTGGAGGTTTTCCTGGCTCTTTCTAAGTATGAGTAAAAGCAAAAGCATCTGTGTACATCCCTTTCAGCCAGGCCAAATGTCCCTCATCCCCAGCTGTGCCTTTGCCTTCAGTGAAAACAACATGCTCTGCACTTCTGCAGCCTCCAACCCCTCTTGTTCACTGGCTACCAAGATGTTCTGCTGAAATTCCACTGTTTTAGCAGCTCAGCTGTGTAAGGTTGCTTAGAAACCAGCCTCCTTATCCCCCACATTCTCATGACAGATCTCCTATGCAATAACAGCACTGCATGACACATTTATATCCAGACATGCRTTCATTTTCCACTTGAGACTCTCAGCATAAAGGTTGTTGGTGCTTCACRCAATTCGTAAACAGCATGCGGTAAATCACAGCAGCATTAAATCACTGCCACGGTCAGAATGAGCTCGAGGGTTGAATGCAAGGCATTTTTCCTGCACTTCATTATTGATCTTTTCTGCAATTTCTAATTTTGTTTTTCAGACTGAGTACTTAGATGGTATTATAAGTGTATGCTATCTTCTCTGCTTTTGTATGTCATCCTCACATATCATTCCAATTTTAAATTTGGGATTGCTTTGGGTTACAATATCTTTCTCCTTTGTATTTTGTTTATATTTGTATGAAATACCTCACACAAACTGAGCTTGAATATATTAATAATAGAAAAGTTTACGTTTTTAAGAATTTCACCAGAAAGGCTGATGTCTTCTTGCAGCTGAAGACGACCATTGTCGGACACTTCATATTTATTCTCTTTATGACAGAATGATTTTTAGTGCAGTTTTGACTTAATTTCTCCTTCTTTGTTTGATAACAACGTTGCCCTCTTGCCAAAATGGCAATGTGTTACTCTGACAAAATAACAGGAAAAGCCAACAACTATGTTTGGCAGAAGAAATATTTGCTATTGATAAAGATAGTAAGGACCAGTCACAATCTTCTCCATTTAATTTCATGCAAGAATCAAATGCATCCGACTTCAAATCTAGAGTCAGGGTTTTTATGGACTGTGCAACACACCATCACTGAACCATAGAGTTTGAAAGTACAAATCAGTATAATATCCCCATCTTTCTTTCTGTTAATATTAGTTAGTACCTAGAACCTCATGTGTGTATTATTTATAATATATTATACTGACAGCATTTCAAATATTGTGAGCAAAGAGTGTAATTTCTTCAGTGTTCATACTCTGGCAAAAGTGCTTAGTTCTGTCATTAGAAAAGCAAAATTTCAGCATAATCCAAACATAATTTATGTGATACTCTGCTTTACAGGATATGAAAGAACTGCTCCCTGCACCGAGAGCCCCATTCTGTACAGTTAAGACACAGAAACTTAGGAGAATTTCCTAAGGTGCAGAGTGTTAAGAAGGATTTATGAGAGAATAGGATTTAAAATGGAATTAGGAGACAGAGGAAAGCTCTCTGCTTGACAAAAAGCCAAACTGAAATAAAGGACAAAGTGTTACATTCAATGCTGTCAGAGGAAATCAGTACATGAATTTATGATACTGAATGAAAATCTGGTTCTCTTGGTTCTGATTTCTTCATTAGTTTTATAATCTTACCAGGAACCACATATTAAATATGCAAAAATGCCACCCATACAGTAGTGTAACAGGATTTATTTAGAAACTATCTAAGCAAATAATTACAAATCAGTCTCTTAATGCTTATTAGGACAGTATTCAGGCAGTTCATTTCACAATTTTATCCTAACTATACTACAGACATTTTTGAGAGGCTGTAGGCCACAGACAAATATTTTTATTATTTTTGCCAGGACCAGAATAGGTAGATCAGGCAAAATTCCTGCTAAATCATACCATCCCTCTCCTTTTCATATACGGCTTGGAATGGGATACTCTTTCTAGCTTKCTTTCTTTCTTGCATATAAGCAAAGTTCTATCTAAATTTAATTCTTGGATGGAGTGGGCCAGAGTGAGTAGGAAAAATAACTGCAACGTACAGTAAACAAGTGTTGTTGTTTTCTTTTTATAAGCACTCCACTATTTCAAGGGGAGAAGGTTTGATTTACTTTTAGTTGAGTTCCAAAATTGTTTTGAATTTCATGCCTTTCTTTTGAAGACTTAAAGCACGTTACAATTACAGTTTGCCAACATTTGTCAACATTGTAATGTTCATGGATAAACCTCAATGATGTAAAGGAATGGAAGATAACACAATAATCACCCTTTTCTCATAAGCAGAAAGCTACGTGCGTTTAACATTTACTTAATACAGAACTCTAAAAGAATTTATGCTTAGTTATGCTTTCAGATATCTTTCTTAGACAARGTGTACAGTATGGTACATATCTAAAAAAACTAGGGAAATACTCTACTTAGGTGAGGAGAGAGAGAGGGGGAGAAGGAAAATTACCTGGTCTTCAAAGTCATATTCTGTATAAACAGGGTCTCCAGAATCCATTAGCAGACTGCTGTCAAGTTCACTTGACCCTAAAATAAGACAAGAGACCAGATATCAGAAATAGATTGGAAATTTTCACTTTATGTGACAGAACACTGTAATATTTTCAATTGTTTGTAGGTATGCAAAGAGTGTGATCCAAGGAATCATTCAGATGTGGTAAAATGTGTGAGTGCTATTCCATTAACAAAGCCTTCAAAGCATCCTTAAAAGCTACCACAAATCTTAATAAAGAACAGTTAAAGTAAATGSTATATTATTTCAGCTAGATTGCAAATTTATTGGGCATGGTTTTCTCTGCGTAGAATGACTTGCAATAATAAAACTGCCACCAGGAGCTGAGCTTAGGGGAGAATACAAACCATGGTTAGGAAGGAGAAAGRAAATACTCATTAATGAGTGATTAGCAGATATGGATTCTGGAGTGATGTTGATAGGGGACCAAAGCAGCATGCTTTCACAGCAGCTGTCCCCCTTCCCACCCAATCCCTTTCCTAGGGGAGAGTGTGACCCTGGACCCTGTTCTGCTCCTGCTCCCTATCATGTTCCTGTGGCAGCAWCAGCAAGTCTTGCAGTGGTCATTGCTAAAGCCAACATGCCACTGATAATCTTTCCACTCAAGGTAACAAGGATGTGATTTGGACATCATACTTGTTTTTTAGCATCACCTCATTCAGATTTTCTTATTCCTGGGCAGTGGAAAGAAGGAAATAGTCATCCAAGTATTCCACACACATCAGAATGTCAATAGGCAAGTGACTATTGGGGTATTTCTCACATTTCACAGCATAAAATTATGTAAGAATAATAAAAGCTATAAGGACACTCAGGATTCAGGTTGCAATCTGTCTTGGGCAAACYAGTTAGCAAGCACAGGTGACTCCAGGCACTATGTTTTCTGGGGAGCRAAAGGAAACACCAGGAGACCTGCAAGATGTGCTCGGTACTCTGTCCTGCTGCCCCCCATCAGATAAACCCACATCCTCTTTGGCCTCATCAGAAGCTGATGAGGAAGAGAAAACAATTTCCTTCTTGTTGTAACTCCTTGGGTAATTGCTGCATGTGAACCTGCTGTGATTTTCTCTTTTGGAAAGCATAGGCATTGTGGCTACAGAGTTTTAAAACCACTGCTGACCTGGTGATGGTTTCTTCCCCGTTAAGAGATGTTTGTGTGGACAGCTGTCTGAACTAAGCACTGTTCATAAATCTTGCAGTTCCATTTGCACCAGATGCATTTACATATCGTCTGCTTTTGCTGGTTCTTAAAAGTTTACATTATAATAATCTATATAGGTGAACTAAACATCACTGAGAACAAAGAAGAGGAATTGGAGCTTGCTAGACATGACGATTCTCAGGTGTCTTAATTTGCAATCCATATTGCAATTGCTACAAAATACATTTTGATGCAATTCTGTGTACTACATAAAAGACACAAGGAAAAGACTTGGATCCATCTGTGAGTGGGTTTTTTTTTTTTTTTTTCCCCTCTAATATTCCTGTATACTTTTAAAAGACTGCTATAATAAATAATAGAAAGGGATTATACATTTGCTATGCTAGAATGTCACATGTACATATGCAGCATGTTCATATACTTTATGGCAAATAGATTTTCAAGTGCTGAGAGAAGTTTCTGCTGTTTCTTTTTTTCACAGCTGACGTCTCTCTCCTAACACTGTGTCATTGCYTATAATAGATTGTAACTGAGTCTCAGTCTTCACCAACACTGGCTTACCCAGAACCACTAAATATCTTAAAATGCACTTTGTCAAGTATTTGATTAACTATCACTTAATTACCCAGAGCAGCTCCCTAGCTCTCCCTGTCTYCCTAGCTAAATATGCTACTAAGAAATATAGTGTCACAAACTTTTACATAAAATCAGACTGAAAATGAATACTCATGCATAATAAATGGTAAGGGACAAATGTCCTGGTGACTGTATATTTTTAATGTGTTCAAAGATTTCAAGACATTTTTATCTTTAACTAGCACACTAGTTCCCTGGGGAAGCCTAACTCTTTTCCAAAAGGCATTCAGGGAATGCCAGGAAAATTGAAAATTGAAGTCTTTTTTTTTCCAGGTTTGGTGAAGATTAACAAAATCCACAACCAACTGTCACATACTGAATGGTAATAGAGACTATTCTTCTTCAGGTTCCTGAACTAAAAGCTACCAGAAATGAACTGGTGTAAATAGCTATTCCTGGGGCAATTTCAAGTAGAGAGGCAACACTCCCAGCACAGCATGAGCAATGTTGCTTTCCAGCTTGGTGTGCTCTTGGAGGAAGTATATTTTGCTGGGTTTGGATGCAATTTACTAAAGCCAGCCCTGCTGGGGAGGAGAACAGGCTTGCTGACTAATCTCTCATGGAAGGGGAAGCAGAGGGTGCCAGCTCRTCGCATCACAAGGCGATGAAGTCAGCAAGTGCGGCACTAGGCCAGGCTATTGACAGGGATAAAGATGAGGGGAGGATGTGAGAAAGAGCAGAAAATGAGCAGAAAATGCAAAACTCAGGTTTTCTGAGCTCACATTTCAATCAGCAATATGTTACATTAAAAAATGTGGCACCTTTCTCTATGCTCCACTGCCAAGGAGAAATAGCTTGCAATTACCTGATCTGAAAAGATATATTTCTCACTTGGAATACACTTCATGAGTTTCAGAGTAAGCATAAAGTTGAGGTAAGGGCAACAGAGCTCTTTGGTGTTACATGCTCTGTATTTTCCTTGGAGAAAAAAAAAAGGAGAAGATTTTATGGACAATACTGCACAATTAAGAAAATAAATCAGTTAACTTTACTGAGCAACCAGCTCTCCAGGGAGGAGGAGGCTGCTGACAAAGAACATGCTCCCTGTTCTGCATCTTAGCACCGAAAAGCTCTTTCATAAAGATCTGCCTGGCTAGGGACCCAAAAGGCCCAACCACACAGCAGGGAGTGACTGCAGGTGAGTTAATGGATGGCCACAGTGACAGCAGTGACCCCTGCCAAGCCTGACAGTCCAGACAACAACCTGCAGGGCTGTGCTCAGCCWCTTCCCCCACCATAAAGCTGGGTTTCCAGCTGTATTTTATGTGTTTTTTGCCATCAAGTTGAACTCGACAGGACTGGTGATGCAAAGCTAGGGCACAGCTACTATCGGCAGGTCTGTATAACATGTGTAGGAATCCTGCCACAGGAATGTGCCCCAAAACCCAGGGACCCAACTTCTGTAATGTGTTTGTCTCTAATASTAGAAAATATTTTGCAAGTTTTGGGGCTGGGTATGTGTCACTTTGCCTGAAAAAGACTGCACCTTTAGCTTTGCCTGAATGCAAATGCCAAGTGCTGCTTTTCCACAGTTCATTCATGTATACAAAGCAGCTAAATTGTACTGATCTGTCTAAATTTAGCTGCAGTTAATTTAACTTCCCATTACTAGGTAGCAAGATCCCATTACATGAGTTAATTAAGTCTGATCCTTGGACCATTTGTGTTTTGGCAAATCAGTTAATGTTTTTCCAATCCTCACTTAAAYTCGTTATTTATTTGAAGTCCTAGCAGCCATATGATTCAACGTGATTCACTGGCTCATATATTCTCACACTCAGCTCTATTTTTAGCAACTACAGGATTTGCACTTCCCTGCTTTGACTGCCTTTAAAGTAATGTAAAACTATCCTGTGAGACACATTGCTTCTACTAATTGCATGTTTATACCTGCTAAGCACAATATAACAAAATTGTCCTCTCATGTTATAGAAAAAGCTCTGAAGCACTGTCTACTCACTGAACAAACACATCTTGCATAAAAGCACTTGGTCTAGACAAATGGTCCAAAGATAATTTTCAAGTGGAACGTAATACAAACAATTTATTAAAGCACTGATTAGCACTACAATGATAACACTTTCATTTCGCTCTCAGTAAGATGGTTGTAATACAAATTTTACTGCAACTTTAAACTGTTGAATTTCATGACAGGCTGTTGCTGTTAGCAACAACGTTATTATTTCATTGGAAACAACAATGAGAGAAAAAGTATTGTAACCTATAGAAATACTTAATTGCTTTTTTTCGACGTATGTGACACAGATGGTTACAACTTTATTTTGCAGGTATATCATAGGAATAAAAATGATGCAGAGACATAAAAATATTTAGAAATACTATGTCTATACTATCCACCAGGAAGCAAAATATATCACAGGTATCACTAAGAGGATTAAAAGATTAATTAAAAAAAAAAAAAGTTACATTAAGGGAGCACTAAACTTACAAACCCTAGAAATGTAATACCTAGCCTCAGTAGGGTCATGAGGAATCCTGCTTTGAGTGTGCTTTCTCCTGCAGGTGCTCAAATTYAGGCACTAATTAGATCACCCAGGAAGCCATTCAGAGAAATTCAAAGGAGATGAGTGATAATGGGAGATGTTGAACCYCTGTGAGCATAAAGAATCATACAGGCTCACAGTTTAAGTTAGCTGGTTGCAGAGGAGAGCTGGTTTCTCAGCTAGGGAACTGCAGTGTAATTGTCTGGACCACCAGAAGGCCCCTCGAGCTTAAAATGCGTTTTGAGGACTGGCTGAGGTAAGATTCTCATAAAGCRTGTAAGACAGTGCAAGCATAGGGTGAATCTTTCTGTATGTTCTCCAGCTTTCAAGGATCAGTAGTTCAGCCACTTGCTAAGGTGAATATTGTGTCAGCAGTTGGTTAAATTATCCTACCGACTACATTGGCACCTCTGTGGTCTTATCTAATTTCTCTTGCATGTGTTTCATGTGTGGTATTCCCTGATTCTCTCATCTGGACTGTACAGAACAGAGTTTAATTGTATTCTTACATTGAAGATATATATACATATGTGTGTATATGTGTATATTTAAGTTGTTGTCTGAATCTTTCTCTGTCTTACAAAAAACAGAGAGTTAGATGTTATAAATTGCTGTTATATCTAGCTATAGCCTTATCTTTCCAAAGGGCCTTGCTCTCTGGAGTATTTCTGAATTTTATTTTAGCTTTTGAGTAGTAAAACAAAATCTTAAGGAGCAGGACTCAGAAGTGGTATTTCTGTTCCTAGTTAATAAATAGATACAGAAACCAGCTCCCTTAGGAATCACCACTCTTGTATTCCTGACTGCTCAGGGCCCCTGGGTTTGAGGGATCCTAATGAGAAATAGGAGAGAGATGTTTGAAGCTCCTAACCTCAACATCAGAATTGAACTGAAAAATCTCTCAATTCCTGTGCAATTACCACTAAATGGTTATGTAAAATGAGGATGCCAAARTTAACATGTTTTTGAATGAAAGTGTATGTGTTTGTTGCTGTTTATGGTGAACTAATCTCTGAAAAAAAAAAATGAGGGATAATTATCTTTCCTCTGTGAACACCTTTGATGGTAGCAAAAGCTAAATAATTTGATCATGAAATTGCTAATAATGATGGAGGAAAKAAGTTATTTAGAGAAGCCTAGCCTGCAGACCACACCACCCTATGTTCCTKGTTAGGATAGGAGCCTGAAAAAGCTTTAATACAATGATCTACTTTGCATGAAAGTTTGCTCCAGCTGTGTGTCATTGCCCTGATAGCAGTGACAACTTGATAGTGGACTCCTCTGTTTTAGAGTCTGACCGCAAGGACTGCTCCTGTCAATGAAGTAGTCAAACATGGTTTGCTTTGGTAGTGAAACACCCATATTCTGTCTCTCTAATAATCTCCTAATAGTAGATTCTCTCTCTCCTTTTTTTCTTTTTTTCCCCCCCCTCCTTTTTCTTCTGGCTCTTTTAATAGTAGTTTCTCTTCCTTCTACCTGTGTTTAAATTTAGCTTCACCAGACAGTAAAACATGKATCGCAGTGGATCCAGCTCACCAGTGATAGTAGCTGTCTTAGCATTTGGTCCTTTGTGTATCCATTAAGCTATCACCCTGCTAATAAAACAATCTTACTCAGTAGTTTGGACAAGCACATACTGTTTGCCAGCTGTTTGGACAGTAGCACGACCTCTGATACCTCTTCAGTTGATCCTGGTGAGAATTATTTTTCCTCAGGAAAGGAAAACTAGATCAGATTTTCCAGAAATGTAACCAGTGCGKGCAAACTGTTTAGCTTTTGCCATTCTGCTTTTCAGAATCAGCATCTTCATGACACTTCTTCCTTCTTGCTATTCATTACTTAGTCCATTTAACTGGAGAAGGTGATTACCTTCATGTAGGTGATTACCAACGCCATACAGTGAGAATGCCATTTTAACTGTGGAATCAAATTTATCCCCTTATGAACAAAGCTAAGCACAGAACAGAGGTAAGTGTGTCACTTAACCAAGTATTTACTCTTGTGCTCACCACTAGAAAACCTAGAAAACTGGTTTTCAGATACACATTTTATCACCTTTTTTTCCCCCCTCACTGACAGCTCAGCTTTATCCCATTCTGAACGTTATGAAATAATAGTCTTACAGCTGGATTTAGTACACAGTGYAGTTAGAATGATACTGCCTTTCAAGTGTTCAAAATATGACCTATTTTTCTTTATGAAGTATAGGTCTGTTTGCAAATGGCTTGCTATTATTTTTAATATAAACTGTAGAATTCATACAGGAATAAAAATAAAGATTAGGTAAAATGAAGCCTAATCTACTCTGCTAATCCTCGTGATGTATTTGGAAGACAGCCAGGGTTGCCTTTCTGGAAAAAGCTACTTGTCAAGGTACCAGCAAACACTTTCCCATTCCTTTAAAGCAAAATCATTCTGACAGATGCTATGGATTTTCAGTGCTTTGATTTTTTTTTTTTTTTTTTTTCCCCCTTCAAGATTTTTGCAGTCCTTTGTCGCTCACAGGCTGTTTCTTTGAAGACATTCAAGCCTCAGTGAGCACAAACACACACACAAAAAATCTCCTAACTTATACAGTTTCCAAATTAGCGTCAGTTATTGGGGTGGAAGCATGATTGTTAGTCTCCTAGGACAGCTTTGCTGGTTAACAATGCGATATAACCTGGAATTGAAAAAGATATAGCTAACAATGGAATTGATCAATATAAAACTATAGTGTAAAAAACCCTTTTTTTTTTTTTTTGGTGAACTATGTACAGTGTTTTAAATTGTTGTAGAAAAACAAGATTATTATATTCTTCTGGATTGCATGACCCTTTCAAATGTAAGGAGAATTTTTACCCTTGGTTATGCAAATGTTTGAGATTTATTAATATTTTTCTATAGCGTGTACGTCTATAGAGGATTATGAAAAAGGCACCCCATGAGTGTCAGAAGCAGTAGGAAGAAAAGACGGTCTTTAAATCTTACATTAACTCACCTGCTGCAGCTTCTTTGTTAGCAAATAGCTTATTGTCAACTGCCAAACTTATGTCAAAGAACACTTCTTCTTCATCTCTGTCTGCATCAAACTATAAAGGGGGGATGAAAAAAAAGGTGCTAATCAGATACTGGTTATTAGTTAGTTGAACATCAKCATATAATATGAATTCTCATCCCAAGTCAATTTAATAGGAACCTTTCTATTCCATTTTGCTGTTCACAGCAAGCTTGATGTATGATTCATTCTTACTTTGACTGAAAACTAAACATTATTTTCTRAACTATGTTGCCATTTCTTATTGGCTTCTCATTCACAACAGTGCAATTGAGTTGATCTCAAAGAATGAAGATTCAAAGCAGATGGCACTGTTAGTGAATATATATATAAAATGCTTTGGATGGTTGAGGAAAAAAATGACAGTGTAAGAAGAGGAAGATGTTTACGGCTTTTTTTTTCTTCAGAGATTAAATAGGTTTAATCTGCAAACAATTTTTTGGCAATTGAAATTCTTTTTTTGTTATGTATGATTAATTCAGGTTGTTAAGCAAAAATCTTAAGAAAAAGTAAAGGATTTTTAAAAGTATATCTATAACATGGAAAGGAAGGTTTCCCTTTTTCTGACAGTAACAGAATGTACTCAGTTATAAATTAATAAAATCAGAAAAGCTTCAGAAAAATGACTAATAATTGATTGAACTTGGAGTTTTATCCTTTTTTTCTTCTATTATGGCTTCTGCCCAAAGTCTGATACTGATTCTCCCGAGTCTTCTTCCAACTCTGTTAGGCAGGTTCTTTTTATGGCCAGGTTTGAATAGCTTTTCTGTTGCTTTTCTGTAATATTGTGCCTCATTCATTTAGATTACTGAGTTTTGATGCTTTCTTGGTGCTTTCTTATTTAACTATCCCAGTTCAAGCTACTAAGTAAGAAGGGATAATTATAACTGCGAGTCACAGGGGCATCCAGATAATGTTCACATTAGATGGCTGTCATTCAGTGTAATCTTCCCTGCCTTATTTTGAATTATTTTATGTCTTCCAATTATGTTTTAGGAGTATTGCAGAACCCAAAACATTACACTAACATAAACATAAACACTGTTRAGCCCCTCTTCAGATGTTCAGCCAGCTTCTGCATGGCAAAAACAACAGGAAAAGTCCCAGGAGAGAGAATTTTAAATACTATGAGCAACTTTGTTGCAGAAAGTGGTGCTGATGGCAATGTAGTATCTACAGATACTGGTCAAGAATACAGCCTGGCTCATCTAATGATTTAATTTCAGAAAGATGCTGAATTGCTTGTCTACCACCCACTCTTACAAAATCAATATCGCTTTTCATTATTCCTTTTGAAGTCTTATGGAGCACCTATATTATTTAAGCCAATTTCTCATTGGCTAATGAAATGTGCTTTCTAAGTGGAATTTTCCATTGGCTCCTCATAGCAAACATAAAGGCAAAGATCAATCCCAGAATAATTATTTAGAGGGATAGATGTCAGAAATGAGTCAAAAACAGGGAAAAAACACTTCAGAGACAAAGAATGATATTACAAAGTGGGACAATGTTCAAGACAGAAAATGAAGCTCAAGGGGAGGACAATCGAATGCARCAGGACTGGTGCGAGATAAGCTAAACTCTCAAAACATGCGTGCTCAGAACTGAACTGGTATTAGTCTGCTTTAAAACTTACTGGTGTTAATATTTAGCTTTGTTTAGCTCAGCCCAAGAGATTGTTTTTGTTGTAAATGTGCACTATTATAATTACCCAGATATGAAATTCTCAACCTGGTTTTTGGAAAGCAGTTTGTGCTTCAGGCCCCAAGGACCATCCTAAAATTCATCCCATGATGTAACATGGTTGTCCATCTGTCCAGGCAGAAATGAGGAGCTGTACTGTCATCTTAACAGTGTTATTTTAAACTCAGAACATTATTTTATAAAGAAGAAATTTGTTTGAGTTCATCTATTAGAAGGATTGCATCTTAACCTGTGGCAGCTGAGGCAAGGGTGGCTTGTGAGAGACCAGGCCCTTAATTAAGTTTTTGGGCTAGCGCTTGGCAATTTATCCTCAATGAAGAAAGCGAATTTGGAACGGTCTTGCTCACAAGGGAGGAGTATTGATCTTTAATGTGTATTCTTTTGTGTTGGTCTTTCTCTGAGAAAGTATGGGAATATAGCTCTGTTGATTCTTAGGAAAAAAGTCTGTTTCATTAGCTATCCTAAGGTATGTCATACAATATTTATGTATGTGTATACACAGAAAACAAACAATAAATTACAATTAGGCTGTCTGATCCATACTGAGCAGGTAGCACTACACTTGGAGAGATGACAGACTTTCTGTCTCATTAGTAGCATTCCTTTGAGTAATCCAGTTTACCAAGAAAAAAATACGATCAATCTCAAAACGTTCTGACAGTTCCAAGAATTTGAAGCAACTAACCTTCATTCAAAGAACACCAGCTGTGCTTCAGCACTCTGAAAAACCTTAGTTTTATAATGAAATCCTATATTGTGACTGAAAGAAAACCAATTATTTGAAGCTTGCGYGTAGACTCAGTGTTCCCCTGAGAATGCAGCGAGAATGCATGTTCCATGAGCGCTGCAATACCCTGAGCCCCAGGAAGGCACAGCAGCTCTCAGAGAGAARGCGTTTTTGAAAGCAACTAAGAAACCGTGTGAGTTCCATATTTCATTGAATTACTAAACACTTTAAAATGAAATCCTTTGATAATTATTGGAAGCTTGAATAAAACACAAAATGCACTCATCTATTCTGTTCTCATGCAACAAACAGAAGCAAAACTTCTACAGCCTACAATATTAATCAATAGGTTGCATTCCCTATTGAAAACAAAGCTCTCCTTCAGAATCCCTACTTGCTTCAGAACATGTGTCTTGGTAACTAAATCATCTACTGGTATGTTTATGGATAACTCAGTTTAGTCATGGTGAAAAGCTGTGTTTTATAGGAATATAATAATCTTTATTCTTTGTCCGCAAGTGTTTAATTGGGACAAACTAAAGAGTAAGAGAATATGGTCCTGTCCTGAAAAGTGAAGGTATGCAAAGGACCTCTTCCTGCTTGGCAGAGATATGTTTAGAGTTACTTCTGTTTAGTCTGGGTCTCAGGCCACAAAAGCTTAATAGCACAATTCTCTTTATATCTGCAGGTGAGGAGAGGGAAACCAAATACAAGGAATCCAAAAGAAKATATAGTTATATCAAAAAATATGGGCTTATTCATACACTTTCTGCTCCGAGTTAGTGTAGTCATCTCRCTAAAATATAATTCAGAGATGGATACTTATAGCTAGACACTTCTATGAGTAATCCTGGAAAAACAGCAGAACTGCCAGAAATGTACATTACTTTCTTATGTTTTATTAGTAGAACTGTATTTAAGATGCCACTGAAGGCATCTGCAATACRTAAGACATGCTAACAATATTGTTGTCTAAATTGAGATAATCAGCAGTGATGTAAGGGGAAAAAAGAAGTTGTGGGTGCTTTTTTTTTTTCTAGTTGGCTTTTGGTTTGTTGCAGGAGGACTTGGTCACTTAGACATGGACAACAGAATTGTAGTTTTTTAGGACACTGGGCTGTGTCAATGTGATTTTCACAAATAAGTAAATCTGRGTGCTATACTTGGGAAGAACCTAGAAACGTTGGGACTTGGGGCTTTCTTTGCTTGCTCTTCTTCTGTCGCTTCATTTGGTGGCATAATCACAGTGACTAAAGCAGGAACAAGAGCAGGTCTCTAATGCCTCCTAGGTTTCCTTTTAATTGGGTTTCAGATATCCAGCATAGCAACAAACTAGCAGAAGCCATATACCTCAGGATACACACATATATGCACACACACATATGTATTTACATATGGGTTATCCCACTTCCATGTGGTGTTCTGCTGGATAATTTGATGCTGKTACAGAGTTATATACAAAAACACAGTGAAAAATACTTTTTAGATTCTTTATGTGGTAACTAATTATTCTATGTGGAGTAARTTGTACTTAATGTATTCTTGAACAGGAAAAGAGTAGTGTTTCTCAATACCTGTTCAGCAAATTCTAGCCAACAAAAGCAACTTCACAAAAGTACTTGTCTGAATTGTTAAGCATTGAACATAACTGGTCAAAATCAATAAAYTGAGGCTTGGTAAACATCATGTTTCAAGTTAAAGAAACAGGTTCATAGCTGAGAGATCTAGGATTCTCATTGCTATCAGCAGACAATCAGCAAGGAAGTGGTAGCTAATGAGAACTTATTGAAAATCTGTAGTGRTTTAAGAGATTTGATTAATGCAAGTAACCAACCTGATACTTTTTCTCCTACTGCCATGCCATGGAGCAGCTGAAGCAGGCAAATGGTCAAATAGCTTGGAATAAGCACTGCTTTGACCTGGCTGTATTTGTTCCAGTTGTGGAGCTAATTTCGTGGTTGCTGGCATGGCATGGGTATGTGTACTGGTATGTGCTTTAGTTGTTACTAAACTATGCTTTGGAAAATAACCTAAAAAGGCCAAATTCAGGAAAGCAAGATAATTTGTTTTTATGAAGTCTAACTGTTAAAGGAGAACATGCAATATTAATTATTAAATATACAGAGGTAGTTTTCAAGTTTTTGCRTAAGTCAGTAAGGTACATCCTCAGGGAAATCTCTATGATATCTGACTGATATTTGGTAGTGGAAATAGGTCACAGGCCTATAAACAGGATAAGGAAATTTTTCCTCAGACAAAGCAAATTTGAAGGGAGACTTAGAGCAAACAAGTAAGTTAGGGGTCTCACTGGGCTGCCTAGTCCAAAGGTCTAATTAGACATATAAACAAGAAGGATAAACACAAGTGCAGTGATGACCCCAAAAAAAAAAAAAAAGGTGTTAAGCACAACTGCAGTAGCTCCTGGGCGCTATTTACCCGCCAAGGGAGCTCACATAGCTGAATGTCGTGTCTAGCAACAAAAGAATTGACACTGGCGTTATTTGAACAAAACGTGGCTTGAAAGTGAGGCTTGAAAGTGACCTCACTTAGGCTTAAAAGTACCTGTTTCCAGTACTTTCCCTCCCACCCCTGAGTGTGAATTG